TCGCTCGGGACATCCTCAAAAAATCGCGAAGATGGCCCAAGATGGCCTCCAAGTCCGCCCGAGATGGTCCAAGACGGCCTCCAAAACGGCCCAAGAGAGTCCAAGACGGCCCAAGACGGCCCAAGAGGCCCCCCAGAGGCCTCCCTGACGGCCCAAGAGGCCTCCAAGAGGTCCTCCAGGAGAGTCCGAAGAGGCCAAAATCATTGATTTTCCGTTGGTTTTTGAAGGATTTTGGCATTTGCGCCTTTTCGGCTCTCCGACGGCTCAAGACGGCCCAAGAAGCCCCCAAGATCGCCCAAGAGGCCCCCAAGAGAGCCCCATGATGGCCCAAGTGGCCTCCAAGATGGCCCCTAGAGGGCCCCAAGAGGGCCCAAGAGGCCTCCAACACGCCCAAGATGGCCTCCAAGACGCCCAAGATGGCCTCCAAGACGGCCCTGGAGCATTCCAAGCGGGCCCCAAGTCGGCCCATAGAGGCCCCCCAAACGGCTTCCGACGGCTTCAGACGTGCCAGGAACCCACCAAGATGGCCGAAGTTGGCTCGAAGCTGGCCCGAGACGGCCCAAAAAGCCCAAAAGATCGCCCAAAGCTTGCCCAAGAGGCCTCCAAGACGGCCAAGATGACCTTCAAGATGCCCACGTGTTCCCCGAAGGCTTTCCAAACCGATTCGGGGAACACGTGGTCCGATAGCTTGGCAGGTCTGGCCTCAACGTTCGGCCACATAGGCGCTTCCAAAAAGGCAGGGGGCGGCGGTGATTCGCCGTAGGCGTCTTCGATCCGCCGCCCCCTGCTTGCAGGGGTGCACGGCGTGCTGGATGATTCAGTTTTGGTTTTGGTTCTTTTTCTAAAAGAACTCCCCAGTGGGCTTCGGCCCGTCCCGCCGGCCACCCGTAAATTTCCCAAAATCCGTCTGTCAATGCCTTTGTTGCCCCAACTTGGCCCAAGATGGCCTCCAAGACGGCCAAGATGGCCCAAGATGGCCTCCAAGATGCTTCCAAGACGGCCACGATGGCCTCCAAGACGGGTAAGATGGCTCCAAGATGCCTCCAAGACGGCCCAAGATGCCCTCCAAGACGGCCAAGATGGCCCCAAAGATGCCTCCAAGATGGCCCACGAGGCCTCCAAGACGTTCTCCAGGAGAGCCCGAAGAGGCCAAAATCATTGGTTTTCCTTAGGTTTTTGAAGGTTTTTTGCGTTTTCTTCTTTTCGGCCTTCCGACGGCCCAAGAGGCCCCCAAGATCGCCCAAGAGGCCTCCAAGAAGGCCCTATGACGGCCCAAGGGCCCCCCAAGACGGCCCCAAGAGCGCCCCAAGACGGCCCAAGAGGCCTCCAAGACGCCCAACATGGCCTCCAAGACGGCCCTGAAGCGCCCCAAGAGGGCCCCAAGACGGCCCAGAGAGGCCCCCAAGACGGCTCCAGACGGCGTCAGACGGACCAGGAACGCCCTAAGACGGCCAAAGAGACCCCCAGGAAGCCCCCAAAGGCCCCCAAGAGGCCCAAGGAGGCCCCCAAGATGCCTCCAAGAGGCCTCGAAGAGGCCCCCAAGAAGCCCCCAACAGACCCCAAGGGTGCCCCAAGAGACTCCTAACAACCCTCATCCTCCTACTCTATTTCTTCCTCTTCCTCTTCCTGTTCATAATCATTCTCTCCCATGTGTTCCCCGAAAGCTTTCCAAACCGACTCGGGGAACTCATGGTCCGATAGCTTGGCCAAGCTCTAGTCCAACTTTCGGCCACATCGGCGTTTCCAAAAAGGCAGGGGGCGGCGGTGATTCGCCGTAGGCGTCTTCGATCCGCCGCCCCCTGTGGTCTTGCCACAGGGGTGCACGGCGTGCTGGACGATTCAGGTTTTGGTTTTGGTTCTTTTTCTAAAAGAACTCCCCAGTGGGCTTCGGCCCGTCCCGCCGGCCACCCGTAATTTTCCCAAAATCCGTCTGTCAATGCCTTTGTTGCCCCAACTTGGCCCAAGATGGCCTCCAAGACGGCCAAGATGGCCCAAGATGGCCTCCAAGATGCCTCCCAGACGGCCAAGATGGCCTCCAAGACGGGTAAGATGGCTCCAAGATGCCTCCAAGACGGCCCAAGATGCCCTCCAAGACGGCCAAGATGGCCCCAAGATGCCTCCAAGATGGCCCAAGAGGCCTCCAAGACGTTCTCCAGGAGAGCCCGAAGAGGCCAAAATCATTGGTTTTCCTTAGGTTTTTGAAGGTTTTTTGCGTTTTCTTCTTTTCGGCCTTCCGACGGCCCAAGAGGCCCCCAAGATCGCCCAAGAGGCCTCCAAGAAGGCCCTATGACGGCCCAAGGGCCCCCCAAGACGGCCCCAAGAGCGCCCCAAGACGGCCCAAGAGGCCTCCAAGACGCCCAACATGGCCTCCAAGACGGCCCTGAAGCGCCCCAAGAGGGCCCCAAGACGGCCCAGAGAGGCCCCCAAGACGGCTCCAGACGGCGTCAGACGGACCAGGAACGCCCTAAGACGGCCAAAGAGACCCCCAGGAAGCCCCCAAAGGCCCCCAAGAGGCCCAAGGAGGCCCCCAAGATGCCTCCAAGAGGCCTCGAAGAGGCCCCCAAGAAGCCCCCAACAGACCCCAAGGGTGCCCCAAGAGACTCCTAACAACCCTCATCCTCCTACTCTATTTCTTCCTCTTCCTCTTCCTGTTCATAATCATTCTCTCCCATGTGTTCCCCGAAAGCTTTCCAAACCGACTCGGGGAACTCATGGTCCGATAGCTTGGCCAAGCTCTAGTCCAACTTTCGGCCACATCGGCGTTTCCAAAAAGGCAGGGGGCGGCGGTGATTCGCCGTAGGCGTCTTCGATATCCGCCGCCCCCTGTGGTCTTGCCACAGGGGTGCACGGCGTGCTGGACGTTTCAGGTTTTGGTTTTGGTTCTTTTTCTAAAAGAACTCCCCAGTGGGCTTCGGCCCGTCCCGCCGGCCACCCGTAAGTTTCCGAAAATCCATCTGTCAGTGCCTTTGTTGCCCCAACTTGGCCCAAGATGGCCTCCAAGACGGCCAAGATGGCCCAAGATGGCCTCCAAGATGCCTCCCAGACGGCCAAGATGGCCTCCAAGACGGGTAAGATGGCTCCAAGATGCCTCCAAGACGGCCCAAGATGCCCTCCAAGACGGCCAAGATGGCCCCAAGATGCCTCCAAGATGGCCCAAGAGGCCTCCAAGACGTTCTCCAGGAGAGCCCGAAGAGGCCAAAATCATTGGTTTTCCTTAGGTTTTTCAAGGTTTTTTGCGTTTTCTTCTTTTCGGCCTTCCGACGGCCCAAGAGGCCCCCAAGATCGCCCAAGAGGCCTCCAAGAAGGCCCTATGACGGCCCAAGGGCCCCCCAAGACGGCCCCAAGAGCGCCCCAAGACGGCCCAAGAGGCCTCCAAGACGCCCAACATGGCCTCCAAGACGGCCCTGAAGCGCCCCAAGAGGGCCCCAAGACGGCCCAGAGAGGCCCCCAAGACGGCTCCAGACGGCGTCAGACGGACCAGGAACGCCCTAAGACGGCCAAAGAGACCCCCAGGAAGCCCCCAAAGGCCCCCAAGAGGCCCAAGGAGGCCCCCAAGATGCCTCCAAGAGGCCTCGAAGAGGCCCCCAAGAAGCCCCCAACAGACCCCAAGGGTGCCCCAAGAGACTCCTAACAACCCTCATCCTCCTACTCTATTTCTTCCTCTTCCTCTTCCTGTTCATAATCATTCTCTCCCATGTGTTCCCCGAAAGCTTTCCAAACCGACTCGGGGAACTCATGGTCCGATAGCTTGGCCAAGCTCTAATCCAACTTTCGGCCACATCGGCGTCTCCAAAAAGGCAGGGGACGGCGGTGATTCGCCGTAGGCGTCTTCGATACTAAACAGTCTTGGAGCTCTCTTGAGTCTCTCTTGGGCCGTCTAGTTTCGCAAGCTCCCTCGACGTCTCCAGAGCGAGAGCGCCATTTTGAACAGAGCGGATTTGGTGAGAAAAATGAAAAGAGCCAAACAATACGCAAGAACAGGCCGAGCATAGTCGAAAACTCGTCCTCAGACTGTTTTGGACTGTTCCTGAACACTCCTCCCGTAGAGGGGGAGGAGGAGGAGGAGGAGGAGGAGGAGGAGGAGGAGGAGGAGGAGGAGGAGACGGAGACGGAGACGGAGACGGAGGAGGAGGAGGAGGCGCAGGAGGAGGAGGAGGCGGAGGAGGAGGAGGAGGAGCAGGCGGAGCAGGCGGAGGAGGCGGAGGAGGCAGAGGAGGAGGCGGAGGAGACGGAGGGATCTGAGGGATCTGATGAAACGCCTTGGTCTGCAAGGCCCGCTACCTAGGCAGACGCCTCTCGGGCCTACGCCGAGACGCTGTGCTGAGCCAATCCCAAGCGAGCAAACGAGGGGAACCCAGCGAGGCGACGAGGAAGCCAGAAACCCAGGGCGGACCCAACGGCCCACAAAAAATTCGAGGAGTATCCAGCGGCGGCGACGATGCCCCAGGCCAAGCCCCAATGGGCGCAAGCCACCTCCGAGCCCAGGATCAGACCTCGACCTTGAAGACGGCTTGCCCTGCTGCGAACAGCTCTAGATACTCCTCCTGGTGTTGGCCACCCCTTCATGAAGACTACACTCACGATGACGACCATTTCCACCAGCACGGCCTTGCCGAAGAGCCCTCGCTTCCCGGCCTTGTTCGCATAATTCTGGCGGGTCTTGATCATATCCATGAAAACGACCTTGCCGAAGAGCCAACACTTCTCGGCATTGGTCGCGTTCTTGCACAGGAGAGGACACCAAACCTTGATCATCACAACGCAGGATGACGAACTTCGCGCCACCAAGGTTGCAATGCTCGCGAGAGTGCTCAAAGCCGATCATCCCCACCTTCCTGGACGCCCGCCATGGCCCGCCGCGGCAACGCCGCTTCGAAGAGCGCCGCGGCACGCACGCGATGTGCCGAAACGGCTTGAGCCAAAATGGCTACGGAGGAGGAGGCGGAGGAGGACGAGGAGGAGGAGGAGGAGCAGGAGGAGAGGCGGCTCCTGCCCTCGAGGTGGACCCGGACGCCGTGTTCTTCCCCGACCGCCTGAGGTCCCACCTGCACCAGCTGAAGGTCCCGGCGGGTGCCAGGCGCGCCGCTCGGCCCTCGCCGCGCGCGCCGCCGGGGTGGCTCGCGGCGGCCCTGCAGAGGCCGAGGAGGAAGCGGTGCCCATGCCGCGACCCTTCCCTCGTGCGCTGTTTTGTCCCTGGGCCTCCAGGGCGGCCCTCGTCGCCCCTCGCTGGACTCGCCTCGACATCCGGGTCAGAGCGCACCCTGGGAGAGGGCCGTGGAGGAGCGGTCTCGGCACCTTTGCTGCGTCTCCCCACAGAGGTCATGTTGATATTGTTGTTGAAGATGGGGATGCTGCTGCTGCTGCTGCTGCTGCTAATGGTGATGGTGATGGTGATGGTGATTGTGATGATGCTGATGCTGATGGTGATGATGACGATGATGACGATGATGACGCTGATGATGAGGAGGAGGAGGAGGCGGATGCGGATGCGGATGCGGATGCGGATGCTGATGCTGATGCTGATGCTGATGCTGATGATGGTGATGGTGATGGTGATGGTGATGGTGATGATGATGATGATGTTGATGATGATGGTGATGGTGATGGTGATGGAGATGGTGGTGATGATGATGCTGATGATGCTGATGATGATGGTGCTGATGATGATGCTGATTGATGGTGATGATGATGATGATGCTGCTGATGATGCTGATGATGCTGCTGCTGCTGCTGCTGCTGCTGCTGCTGATGATGATGATGATGATGATGATGATGATGATGATGATGATGATGATGATGATGATGATGATGATGATGATGATGATGAGTAGTAGTATTATTGTTACTATTAATATTCGTATTCCGCAGGGGTCAGCTCACCGACGCCTTCCGACGCCTTCCTCCGCGAGCGCCCCAGGGAGTGCACCCTTGGAGAGGTCCGGGAGTAGCGGTGTCTGTACCGAGTGGCTCCCCGCAGACCGCGGTGGCGATGCGAAAACGCTGAACGCTGTTGTAGTCGGCCCCTGCCACAGGCCCCCTCGCGCTCAGAGGTGGAAAAGGTGCCGATGCCCGTCTTCAGCAGCAGAGCCCACTGACATCACCGACGACGTCTCCGACGCCCCCCCCTCCTCCCCCTCCTCTCCCCCCCTCCGGGGTCGCACACGAAGTGAGTGCACGTGCACGGGAGGCGATCCCTGGTGGCCGTCTGGAGTTCGCCGTGGAGGGTGCGCGATACGGCGCTCTCCTGACGGCGGGGCGAGCGGGGCGAAGCAGGGGGAGAGACGGGGAGGAACGGGAAGAAACACGGAGGACCATCTGCGGCCGTAGATCTTGGTGGGGCGCCTAGCCCCAGCGTCGCAGCTGATGGCGTTGGGTACCATCCTGCTCGACGGCTCGCGTCAGCAGTGCCGCCCCTAAGTTGGCCTACGCACCCCGGGCTCCCCTCCCCGGAGGAACAGAGGAACGGCTGGAGGGAGGGAGGGAGGGGGGAGTGGAGGAGGCGGAGGAGGAGGAGGGGGGGAGGAGGAGGAGGAGGAGGAGGAGGAGGAGGAGGAGGAGGAGGAGGAGGAGGAGGAGGAGGAGGAGGAGGAGGAGGAGGAGGAGGAGGAGGAGAGGAGGGAGATGGAGGAGGAGATGGAGAAGAAATATCGAGGAGGAGGAGGAGGAGGAGGAAGAGAAGAGAAGAAGAAGGACCGAGGAGGAGGAGGAGGCGACGGGCGCTCGATGCTCGGCCCCTCGTTCCCACCTCGATGGTGTGCGCGGGAGGGGGGGAGGGGGGGGGCAACGCTTGCACCTACCTGCAGGACGAAGGCCAGCTCCGAGGCTTCGAGGAGGAGGCCGCCAGTAAGGGCCTCCAGAGGCCCAAGACGACGAAAAAGTTCCCGTCGTGCTCGTTGTTCGCGACGTGAGCATCGCACCAGGCTGTGCTCCCCCTCCCGCGCGTCGCGCGGAACCGATCTGCCCGCGCGCGCGGCCCGAGGGGCCCTCAGCCAGGGCGACCAGGGCGGGCGCACGCGGCCCCCTTGGGGGGGGGGGGGGGCCCGTCGCGGTGCGCGCGGCTCGGACCGCGATGGCGGACGACGAAGATCACCACTTCATGTTCGAGGACCAGGAGGCGGAGGAGGAGGAGGAGGAGGAGGAGGTGAAAGAGGAGGCGGAGGCGGCGGAGGAAGAGGAAGAGGAGGAGGACAAGGAGGATGAAGGTGAGGATGAGGAGGAGGAGGACAGGAAGGAGGAGGAGGAGGAGGACAGGAAGGAGGAGGAGGAGGAGGATTAAAGGGAGGAGGGGGAGGAGGGGGAGGGGGAGGGGGAGGAGGAGGAGGAGGAGAAGGAGGAGGAGGAGGAGGAGGAGGAGGAGGACAGGGACGGGGGAGGAGAATCGAGGAGGAGGTGGAGGTACAGGAGGCGGAGGAGGAGGTGATGAATCGAAGAAGAGGATCGAGGTGGAGGACGAACCGTGATAGAGGATGACGATCGAGGTTGAGGATCGAAGAGGGCGAGGAGGAGGAGGATCCGGGAGGAGGGGGGGAGCGCAGTCTAGGAGGAGGAGGAGGAGGAGGAGGAGGAGGACGACGATGACGAGGACGAGGACGAGATGACCGAGATGGAGGGGCATGATCCGGGAGGAGGAAGAGGAAGAGGAGGTGAGGTGGAGGAACACAACTTCATGGTCGAGGAAAAGGAGGAGGAGGAGGAGGAGGAGGAGGAGGAGGAAGAGGAGGGGACGGGCGATTATGCTTTAGACCTTCATATAGTGGCCTCCATCGCCGCCGTGACCTTCACACAGTGGACCTTCATTCAGGATCCTCCTCGGGATCCCAGTCGGGGCGCGCTCAAGGGAAAGTTTGGGGGAAGCATCATGGGAGTACCGCTTGCATTGCGCAGGCCTGGGGCCTTCGGGTGCCTTCTTCACCTCCTCCTCCTCCTCATCGTCCTCCTCCTCCTCCTCCTCCTCCTCCTCCTCCTCCTCCTCCTCCTCCTCCCCCTCCCCGTCCCCCTTCTACTCCTCCCCTCCCCCTTCTACTCCTCCTACTCCCCCAGACACGCCAGTGCCCCCACACCCTATGATTTAATATGAATTTCTCTCACACAGGAGGAGGAGGGGGAGGAGGATCAGGGGGAGACAAAGATGGAGGGGGGACAGCGAAAGAAAGAGAGAGAGAGTGAGCGAGAGAGGGGGAGACTCGAGGGAGCAGCGATCCCTGTGACCCCACAATGTTTGCGACGCCTGGGGGCCCCAAGTCCTGTTATTTCATTGGGATTGTTTGGATTTCTGAGGTTGGAATCCCAGAAATCCTATGAATTCATTGCGAGTTTGGTGAGTTTGGGGGTGTTCTGCCCTCCAGCAAAATCAGCTCAGGAGCCCCTCAGGGGTCCAAACCATCCAGCTGACTTCACAGGTTTCGCGATGCCAGGGTGCCCCAAACCGTATGATGTCATTGGGATGTTCATGATTTCTGGGATGGGAATCCCAGAAACCATGTGATTTCATTGGGATGTTTTGGATGTTGTTGATTTTGCTGCCCTCCAGCAAACGTGGGCCCAGACCCTCCCAAATCCAAAACCCCACAGAAATCCAAATAAAAATCATATGGTTTCTGGGATTCTCATCCCAGAAACCCTCAAACACCCAAATGAAATCATAGGGTTTGGGGCACCCTGACATCGCGAAACCTGTGACATCATTTGGGTATTTGGGATTCTGACCCCTGAGGGGCTCCTGAGCTGATTGTGCTGGAGGGCAGAAAATCACAAAACAAACTATTTAAAGCAATCCGAATGAATTCATAAGGTTTCTGGGGTTCTCACACCAGAGAAAGCCCAAAACTCCAAATGAAATAACAGGGCTTGGGGTCCCCAGGAGTCGCAAACATTGTGGTGTCACGTGGATCGCTGCTCCCTCGAGTCTCCCCCTCTCTTTCTCTCTCTCTTTCTCTCTCTCTCTCTCTCTCTCTTTCGCTGTCCCCCCTCCATCTTTGTCTCCCCCCTGATCCTCCTCCCCCTCCTCCTCCTCCTCCTCCTCCTCCTGTGTGAAAGAAATCCATAATATATCATAGGGTGTGGGGGCATTGGCGTGTCTGGGGGAAGGTCCCTGCAAGCTTTGGTCTTCCTGTGTGGAGGATGGCGCCCCTGCAGAACAACTGGAACCAAGAAGAGCTACGGAAACGGGAGGATGAGAGAGCGAGGGGGGGGGGGAGAGAGAGAGAGAGAGAGAGGGAGAGAGAGAGAGAGAGAGACGATGCGCAAGGGGATGCCATGGGGGGGGAGGGAGAAGGGGGGAGGAAGGAAGGGGGAAGGAAAAGATGATGTGGATGGGGTGGGGAGATGGACGACGATATTGAAAATAAGCATTAATAGGAAGAGTGGGAGCGAGCTGTGCACAGGCCGAGGCCCGAGGGCAAATCAGCGGGTGCTGTGCGTGCTGTGGGTGCCCCCAGGCTTCGCACACATTTGTGATTTCACAGGGATCGCCGCTCCCTCGAGTCTCCCCCTTTCGCTCTCTCTCTTTCTCTGTCCCCCTCCGTCGCTGTATCCCCCCTTCTCCTCTTCCTCCTCCTCCTCCTCCTCCTCCTCCTCCTCCTCCTCCTCCTCCTCCTCCTCCTTCTATAAGCAGAGACAAAGTGTGTGAGGGGGAGAGAGAGAGAGAGAGAGAGAGAGTGAACCGTTCAACGACCGATGCAAAATGAGTGGGTGCTGGGGGGGGGCTGGGCTAATATATATATATATATATACATACATATATATACACATATACATATATCTATATACATATATCTATATATACATATAAGGGAGATCCTGGGCCAGGGACCCGAGGGTGCCCCCCCCCCCAATCGCTGTCCCCTGAGGGCCTGCGGGCCCGAGAGCGAGCGAGAGCGTTCCAAGAGCGCCGGGATTCGCCTGCAGACTGCCCAAGCGGTCTCCAAGACGCCCCAAGATGGCCCCAAGAGCGATCCAAGACGCTCCAGGATTGTTTCAAGAAGCGCCAAGAGGCCCTGAAGACGCCCCAAGAGGGCTCCAAGAACCCCCCGAGGAGGCCCTGCAGAGGCCAAAATCATTCAACAGCATTGGAAGATC